ATCCAAGGCCGGCAGAAGACTCGCACCTTTCAAATTTCGCAGGGCTTTGAGCGTTGGGCCAGTTGTAAACAAACAGGCAGATTTGGTGCACAAATTTTAGCCATTGCTGACTTTTGACAAAATGAGGCATTTGTCGAAGAGCAGATCTGCCATATGGAGGAGGCAATACAAACAGCGTCCTCTGCGCTTTCTTTAGATGACAGTGGCTGCGTTTTGATGATGGCATGAGGATGGTCGTCGATTGCCCTCACCTGGCACACTCTCAGTCATCCAACGGACTTTTCATAAAGCAATTGAGGAGTTCACAGCCACATTCCCTGTCCACGTGCAGTTGACATACTTTCATTGTGAAATATGGGCAACACCTAGAGTGGACTGACACGATAACTACGACGCAGACGACCAGCTTGTGAGACGGATTATGTCATATGCCGCATTAGCACAATTGCCACAATAAGGAAAACAGGAGCCGACAACAATTTGATGCTCTCCCCACAGCCTCCTTTCCGTAAACACACACAGCCAGAGTGGAATAAGCGCTCATAATGATAAACTCAAGACTACTTCTCTATCCATAAATGCACAGTACAGAGATGAACATCACTGACCTTAAAGACAGATTTATCCCTGCCAAAGTACAGGAAACATTTGTGGCAATGAAAAACAACTGCAGCATCCTAGGTGTCTAGTTGTTTAAAAGTAATGTAAGTAATCTATCTAGAGTGGGAGCATTCCACCTCCATTTATGTCTTCTACCTTGACTAATCCACCTGCCACCATTTGCCATAAAGTTATGTAGTATTTGTGTCATATACGTGACGCTGGTGGCCTCACGAGTAAACGCCCTTCCATACAGCTCAGAGACGGTGACGTCTGAAAGGAAGAGGATGCATCTCTACGGATCAAACACACATGCATCGGTCACTTTCTACACGCACAAACCTGCATAGAACCGAGAACACACTTACGATGGAGGCAGCTCTTCCTCACCGTCACCCTGTCCGGGCAGATCCACACTCAGCCAAACTGCACGCTCCATGATGGGTCGCATTTTCGGACGGTCCACAAATTCTTCATATTGGTAGTCTACAGGTCACAAAGAATTGGCTGTAATATGACAAGCTAGTGTCACTGCTTATAAGGTCAAGGTATCAGGAAGTGCTTCGTTTCGCAACTCGGCTCCTACGCTGGTCTGCATGGTCTACCGTAGAGGTGCTATTTGCCTACAGACTTGCAGAGTATCCCGTAATCCAATTTTCATTGAAATATTAAAGAGAATATATCAGTTTAGGTTCTAGATAGATGAAGTGGAAATATGTTCCCACGAATATTAATTCACTCTCCGTCATCAGTCGGTCTCAGACAGTGCTGCATGGATACGAATTTCTACGACAGAGAACATAGAAAGTGCTACTCTGCTACCATTTGCCCCATCCCACAAGCGCGTGCATCCTGTGGAGTCTTCCAAGCCAACCTGCCAAAGGTGAGGATCTTTAACTATCCCATCCCCAAACAAAGAATTCTTACCGATTTAGAACTCATTTAACCTAATAGTTAACTTAACAGGCTCTTCAGCACTACTTCGGATTTGCTTTTTGACAGCATGGCCATTTCCACTGTTTGCCTGCAAACCCGCAGCCCTCTCGCGGCGGGACTAGTAAATCACCTGACGTACTCGCGTGGCTTGCTGTGATGCATGGAAGTACTCACGGTGCTCCACAACATCTTCGATCACCAGGGCATATTAAGAGCCAAAAGTTGGTAAATCATTTTAAATGCAAACACCAATATTGCATTGCGCAGCTTCAGGTGAATCTTCCGATTCGCAGTAACCAAAACATATGGCAGAAATCAGTGTGGATTAGCTAAAAATTTCGTGCACATGAAAAAAAAGTAGAGGAAGCACATGGTAATTGTACGGAAATATTAGATTTGTGAGAAGGGGAAGGAAGAAAAATGGCGTTAAATTTTGCAAAATTTATTTAGACATGCAAAAAGCTCTATCATGATCTTAACTTCTTTTGTTGTGTAGTGAATTTTATAACCAAATGCAGAATTGACTTCATATACTATTAACTTCTGGTCCTCTGCTGAAAGTTAATAGAACCCTCTAGGATTTTACATTGAGTGCACTTTCATGCTGAAATATTTGATTCAGTAGGGTGAAATAATAAGTCAGTTTTAAAGTCAATATGTCACCCAGTATATCCCAAGCGGGAGGCACTAGCACTTCCTCAACAACTTTGAAATGCCAGTGAATGCATTTAGCGGGAAAAAATTGGCCAGATTTAGTCGTACGCATCAACGAGTATCCAGAACAACCATGTATAAAGTCATTACCCACGGTAACGAGGTTGGACAAGGAACAAATAACCAAATAGCATAAACCACTGAATTCAAAAGGAAATGAAACAGAAGGACGGCAGAGCCAAACCTTTCGGCTTCATAAAGAGACAGTGACAGGTGAACAATTCTTTCTGTTTTTCGAGGAAATTAATTAAGGTAGACACAAAGAGGCATCAGGTAGAAGTTGGTGTGGCACCAAGGTCAGACTAGATGTTTCCATCAGCGCAGGTCCTTTGATCTCAATGAATGTGAATGTGCACCAGTCGTCGCGGGTTGGCATGATCAACTGTTAGGCTTTAAGAGACATACCAAACATCATCAGGTCTTTCATTACCAGTTTGTCGCGGGCAGAATAAGCATCAGTCCGGGGTTAGGCTAGGTTAGAGTGAGTGGGGAGGGAGAAAGGCGAGGGTGGGTTGGTTCCGAGAGGTTTGTTTAGTGGAGGGGACGGAAACGTAGAAACGTTGCTTAAATGGCGTAACTAGTAGTCAGTGAAAGTACTGCCATGTAATCAGTCGTTCGCGGTCTTTTCCAAAAGCTAAAGGCTCTGATTGCATAGTTGAGCTTCTTTTACAACCCTCCGGATTGGACGCATGAAAACAATGAATGTGTGAGGCGCTAATTGGAATAGTGTCGCTTGCTCCAACGCTAGTATAAAGGTAAAAAGCGAGAGGGAGAGAGTGAGACAGAGAAAAGAAACGTTGCTGTCCCCATAACCTCAGTGACAACGCAATTTGCCACGTCGGAATCCCCCTTGTCCAATGAATCACCTAAACGGCACCTAGTCCTGACCAATTATAAAGAGAAATGTGTACTCTTTAGGTCATCATTATGTTCGAATTAGGCGGGTTCATGGATTAGGAAGAAAATGCATGCTTTGCAGATCTTCACTGCTTTTAAGATAAAGTTATGTGAAGGCTGAGCCATTTTAAATGCCTTATGCTTCCCTTGTCATTAGTAAGCTAAAGTGAACGCACTTTTTTTCTTGATGGCAAGCAACCACCCCTCAACCCCTCTGAGTTAAAGGAATGGGGATAATTCGGACTTAAACGGTACCATTTCCCTCCATTTAAGGTGCTGATGACCGAAACAGACCTTGACATCACTAAAAACGCAAAACATCTAAACACTTTTAAAACAATGCAAACAATCCTAATTGATGTGAAAGATTTGTTGCACACCTTTTTTGGCAAAAATCGTCCCGTGTCTGGATCTGGGAACGAAAGAAATGAAAAAGGCTATATACTACCAACCATAAAATTAGCATCTTCTACTAAGCCGCAAATAAGTTAAACTCCTAGTTCTAAACAGCGTTGACATACAAAACTCCACAGCTCGAATTACAATGGTCACAAAAAAGTCGGGAAAAGACGACCACTTTGACATGATTTTGAGAACCCTGACAATGAAACTCTTATCGCCTGAAAGCACAAAGTGGTAGCTAGAAGAAACTGAAGTTAGGAACACTGAAACTTGGTTCAGGTACTAAGAAGGAAGGACCAACCTATTGTGCCTACAAGGCCCACGTCTGTTGGCCAAGTTGGAGCGCATTACCAAGGACGATCGAAGGGACATTTATGAGGTTAAGGATCTTTGTTTATTAAACGCTCACCTCTGTTAGATCAAAGCACCAGCGGTACAGGCACAGTACATTTAAGCAACCGCATGAGCTATGGGTGGTGGCTGAAAGTTTCACCTGTTCCTGTGTACGAAAAGGTGTCACATGAAAATATAGTGATACCGACAAAATTTGCCATAACTTTGCAAAAAAAAGGGGAATTACATTTTACAGGTCAATTGTGATTGATGCGTGGGAAGACAGTGAAGTGTGCTATTACAGGCTTTGGTGATCCTTTTGATGACATTTTTGGCCGCCTAGAGACAAAGGTGCAAGAAATCTTTCAAATAAATACCAGGTGTTTGCAAGAATGAACACAAGTTATACCGCACAGATTCCGCCGCAAATGTGATATGCATGGAAAAAAACCCTTGTTTTCAATATGGAGCATCCATGGTAAAAACACGCTGACTCAGAAAAGAAGGTGCTTCAGTATTACCAATTCAAAAAAGTAGAATTTTAGAACCTTCAACATCTTCAAAGCAAGAGATTACTTTTGAAAAGGTGAACTAAAAATTACTTCAGCCAAAATTTGTACAAAGCGGCATTAAAAACAAAAGATATTTTTGCCCAAAAAAGTCCCTGCATGATTAATTGGTGCACTGTGGTTGTAACGATAAGCGTTACACGTTGCATAACTACTATTCAGCTAATAGAATGTAGAACAAAAAGGCAAGGAAAAGTTGGCATTTTGATAATTGGAACAGTGAAGAAGGAAATCGTAAGTGGAATTGAACTCACGATTGCAACCGAGGTCATGAACTGTCAGAAAAACACAAGTTCGTGAAGAAATGTTTCCCTAAAACAACGAAAATGCTAAATAAGCTAGAAATTACCATTGAAAAGCAGATTTTGCCTAGATAGAGGTTGTCCGATAAGGGTGAAAACTATAAGGTGGCGAACGAAAACGCAAACCCAAAAAGGTGAAGTTTAAAAAACTTTCACAAAAAAACAATAAAGTGTGATACATTTTAACGTTTCTGTTAAGGGCACTCCTGAAATACTTCTGATTGAGGGTAGTTGTCAAATATCAACATAATACTATTCGAGATTGAAAAAATAACTTTGAGCAAATGCACACCACCTTTACCTGGACGTATACGTTGACTTTCCCAATAGGAAGTTCTAATTCGTGATGCTAAGAAGTGTAATATAAAAATATTGCCTACTTGCTCTGATGGAATTCTTAAGGCAGCCATCTTATCCAGTTCCATGAATCAAATTAATTAATTATGGTGTGACCTCGAGAGTATGGCATACCTTATAAGCTTAAACATATGTAATTTAAGAATTTATTTACTTTAGGTGGTGCAAATGTAAAATCAATCTAATAGGAGTAAGAAAAGAAAACCGTGCCATTAGGAAACGAAAACACTACAAATGTCTTGCAATAGTAATCCCCAAAGCGGATGAGTGCTGGAAAAGTATGGGCACGGTCAGAGGTCCAGCATGCTGAAAAAAACAATTTGCTACGTCTGCATATTTAACATGGTTAAATGTGGGGCAGGTGGAATATAAAGTTACCAAATGTTATTTAGGTTTAAAAACAATTTTCCCATTTACCTCCATTTCAGTCCCCTTGCAGCAGAGTGCTTATATTTCATGTGGAGGATCATTTGTTCGCCCAGCTATCAGTGTTGATAGTAGTCTACCTGTAGGCTTCACCATTGTGCCTGCGACTGACAGGCTGTCGTAGGGGTGTTGCCAGCAGCACCAACCTATTTTCTTCGTAGACATCCTTTATTCAGCCTAAGCATTAAGTCTTCTTCGGTTTATAGAAAAATTGCATAGTACCACAGTACATGTGTTTCCATTAGAAAGTCTATCTAAAGAAGCATTAACAAAAGTGACGTCGACTAATTGGTTGCACTAAAATTTGTCCCTATCTCCGATACGGAGCTATGAAAAAAGCAACTCAACTAGCAATATTGTGCACTTTTCTAGTCGAACTAGATTAAATATGTCTTATACTGCTTTTATTATATTTGAATAAGATCATGATCAGCATTTTCAGTCTTCATTAATTAATGAACAGCCCCTTAGTATTGGAAGCAAAACCCGAATAAAATATCCTGACCTTAACAATCTTACCTATAAAGCTTGGGATTTTTAAAAATATGATGTATTTTTGCCTTTCGATTTGTAAAAACTATTATTTTATGCTCTATTCCCTGTTTTTGTATTTCTCAAGGTCGATTTGTGCAATCTGCGGACAATCCCCGGCTTTTACTTTCCTTGTGTGGGTTTCTTCTTGCAGACATTTTTTTCCAGATCACTGACCTATTCGTAATAATGTCTACTAGTGATGTTATCCAGTCTCAGGTAAATCTTCTGGTGCCTTTTTTGGAAATGTTTTTAACCTCCGCATCAAAGCGAATGCCTGGATATTGATGTTTGTGTGTTGTTCGGTAGCAACTCCTTTGAACCGTGTTCTACAACTTTTTATTTGTTTAAAAATTGTTTTTAGTGGCCTGAAGTTGCGATCGCACTTCATGAAAACCGACGTGAATTGGTGATATCTAATCGAGATGGGATGGATCCTCATATCTACCTCTTAAAGCAACTCAATTTTCTTGATATATCTAAATGTACTCTCTCTGATCTATCAGATGATTTAAGCAACTTGAGTGGGCTTACTAAACTCTCTCTTCAACGCAACTCCATATCCAAGCTGCCTGAAGCTCTGGGGAGCTTGAACAATCTTCGTTTCTTGGACCTTTCCTTCAATATTATCACCAGTCTGCCATCTGCAATCTTTGACGGTCTTCCACGGCTGGAAACTCTCCTGATGGACTCGAACAATCTAACTGAACTTCCCTCTTTGGAAGGACTCATCGACCTACATCATTTGTCAGTGTCAAATAACGCTCTGTCCTGTTTACCCGAGAGTATATTATGCTGTACTAAACTTATGACTATTGATGTCTCCAGCAATAAGATATCTGAACTCTCTGATGAAGTTGGATGGAAAAATCTGGCCAATTTGCACCTCTTTAATCTTTCCAATAATCAACTTACCAGAATACCACAAGCACTGTCTAAGTGCAAAAAACTGAGAGACCTTCAACTTCAGAATAATCCACTGAAAGATCCTCGTCTAAGGAAACTCGTTGGTGCTACGCATCCTGGTCCTGCTCTAATTAATTATCTCGCAAAATCAACGAAAGAAGGGAGTAAAAGTAAGGGGAAGGCTCCAAACGTCACCGAAACCACCACAGGCGCTGGAAGCGGTAAATCACTTCCTGCGACTTCATCGACTTCCCAAGACCTGGTAATCGCAATCAATGAGGACGCTACGGTAAGGCTCTTATGGAGTCGATTAATGTATATTTTCTTTAATCGTAGCCCTACGTGGTGTCGGTAGTTAGACCAGAGGAGGTTAGGAACAGTCTTCGACCACGCATATTTGCTTGTGTCGTTTCGGATGTCTGCCTAAATGGAGAGGGCACATTGGTAGACTTCCTACGTTTCCAAACAAAACTGCACAATATGTTGGGGCAACAACGCAGGGTGGCTACCATTTGCACCCACGATGTCTGTCAGCTTACTCTACCACTCCACTTCGCTCTACAACCGGTGGACGTGACTTATGTAAGTTGCTGCATCATGCAGCATACCGCATATATAATAATGTGCAAAACCTTTTCCCCTGACCGGGAAGTGTTACCAAAATTAACCTTATAACCGTAAAATTTTCACCTAAATTTCCTTCGCATGAGAAATTTTTATTTTGTGCTTTAAAGTACCGTTCTACCCCGAGCCTCCCCTGAATCTAAAAAGTAGACAATGATTGGAGTCATGGGTATGACCAAAAAAGGAAGCCTTAAACTCCTCCATAGAGAAAAATAATAGAGACAATTGTCACAGTTAATCTTGTTAACCTCGTATATTTCCTTCCAACCTAGCAGATGTACATGACGAAGTTGTTGACAAGGCGCACAAATCTAGAATTGGATCATTGAGAACGTCCAAGTAGTCGGTTTTTGGTGTCTATGTGCTTAGCAAGCCACAACAATATTGAAGATAATTTAGTATTGACGTACAGAGGGGCTGGGAGGCTATAGTCACGACCGCAAGACGGTGGAACAAGCCACGGGAACAAATATCAAGTCACTACAGCAGTCATGTGTCTGTTAATCCTATTTATCTTCTAGATTCAACCGCTTAACATGAAGAAGCACTTCACCGCACGCCAACTGCTCACTCACCTTCAACTTGAGGCGGAGTCTGAACGAAAGCGACGCAAGCTAACCACATTTAGCGGTCTAATGCGCTACTTAGAGATTGTCTCGCCATTGTTGGGTCCCAAACGAGGGACGCTTTGTGCATCCGCTCACGCCGACATTCAACCTCTGCCAGTTACAGTCGATGCCGCTGGCACCACTATCTCCCTCCATCCCATCACTGGCTGCCATCAAACACGTGTATGTTTCTCCTGTTTTTCTAAAGGTGCTGTAACCTGTATGAAAGCTATTAGATGCATAGAAGGCCTGGAAGATTAGTAGCTAAAGCAGCGTGGTTGAATCTCATGCTTCTAGCGCTTGGGTTGAGTTGCTACGGCCTTTATAGGCCTGCGCAGTGGAAGCGATGTTTGTAACTTATTTTTCCCTCACATGACCTTCACTCTTGTTGCAAGCGCCGCCACCAGTGCCTCCGGTATTCAGTACTTTTGCTGATACAAGATCTAACATTGCCTTGGAAAAGGAAGCGAATAGGACTTTCTTTCTTCTCACTGATTGGTTGCTTCAAAGGATGTGTGTACTCTCGCCGTTACCCCTCCGCTTCGCTGCCTGTGAGGCTAAAGCGAATTGATGTCTTGGAACACCGGATGCACGTGTCATCTTTCCAACGCCTGAACTGTCACGCTTTCCGTGATTTGTCTTTCTATTTCA